ACTGCCAGGGATTTAACGTGTTATCTGGTTTGTTATAGAAGTTCCCCTCAAAGTGTGAGATAACCAAACTTTGCAGTGGTTAAAATAACTCTGGTTATATCAACTCCTCTGTCTGAAGAGATGTAAAATGTCCATGTCAGAGTTCTGTACCTTCCTCCATGTTTCTGTCCCCGCCACATCTTTCTGTTTCTGTTCATGCGAGCGCTGCAGCAGTCTTAGGCCCGCCCCCTATGCTCTCATTGGTTGAGACGCATGATGACGCCCATCCTGAGGATTCAAAGGTTTTATTGTCATATGCTCAGCAGCTACAGTGTAGAAATGGCAATGAAATTATTTTGACCGAGCTCCTCCAACCATGTTGAACCTCCTCAGCCTGCGGAGGAAGAAGAGCCGCTGTCGAGCTGTTTTGGTGAGTTACAGAGGAACCTGAAGCTGCTGACTCTGTTCACCGTAGTCCCATTGATGGCGATGGGGGCGTGTCCCTCTCTCTGCTGCTTCCTGTAATCCACAATCAGTCTTCTTGCCGTTGGTGATCAGGCCGATGACGGTCGTGTTGTCAGAAAACTTGACGATGGTGTTGGAGCTGTGTGTGGCCATGCAGTCGTGAGTGAACAGGGAGTAGAGGAGAGGGCTGAGCACGCAGCCTTGAGGGGCTCCGGTGTTGAGGATCAGGGTGGAGGATGTGATGTTTCCCACCTGCACTGCCTGCCTGGGGTCTGCCCGTCAGGAAGTTCAGGATCCAGTCACAGAGGGCGCTGTTGAGCCCGAGGCCTCTGAGCTTGATGACCAGCTTGGAGGGCACAATGGTGTTGAAAGCTGAACTGTAATCAATAAACAGCATTCTCACATATGTGTTCCTCTGGTCCAGGTGAGAGAGGGCAGGGTGGAGGGGGGGGGGGGGGGGGGGTTATGGCGTTTGTCTGTGGACCTGTTAGCTCTGTAGGCCAACTGCAGGGGGTCCAGAGTGTCAGGGAGGGAGGAGGTGATGAAGGTTTTGACTAACCGCTCAAAGCACTTCATGATGATGGAGGTGAGTGCTTCCGGTGCGGTCGTCGTTGAGGCTGGTGGTTTTAGACTTTCTGGGGACAGGAACGATGGTGGAGTGCTTGAAGCATGTGGGGACTACATTTACTGCACTACTGATCAACATCCCCCCTCCTGTGAGCATGGTTTGTCTGTACAGACTTTCAAAATTATAATATTAATTTAAAAAAAACTATAAAATAATTGTCCGTGTTATTATTAAAGGCGTTAACGCGATATTAATGAGTTAACTTGCCCAGACCTAGTTTCAAAACTGAATTAAACTGTTCTGAAACGTCGCGCTGTGCTCAAGAGGTGTGTGACGTGTGTGTGTTTCCCTTTCCCCTGCAGGGCTACAAGATGGACGACCTGCTGACCTCCTACATCAGTCAGATGCTGACCACCATGAACCGGCAGCGCCCGGGGCGGGGCCACAGCAAGTGAACTTCTTACTGGCAGGAAGCCGCCAAGCTCGTCCGGCTCCTGCGCCCTATTGGCCAGCACTGCAGCTGGGGGCGGACCTTTGCCCACCAGCTGTGGAGGATGAGCCGCAGTCCTTCTGTCAGCTCGGCAGAGTCCAAGCTCACAGAGGACAGTTTGTCTTCCAGCAGCGAGGACCCCGGGGAGGGCCCCAGCCACTATCACCTGTACAGACCCCCCGAGGAAGAGGAGTCCAGCGAGGACGACTACCTCTGAACGTCCAAACTGTCCGAACACTCCTTAAAAAACATTCTGACGTCTCCTGCCTGGATGTTGGAACCTGTGAGGACTCAGAAATACATCAGCTAACTGTTATTAGAATGTATACATTTATAAACTACAAGTGAGACCGGTGGAAATCCAGGAAGTGCCGAGTTTAGCAAAAACTCAATCTCACTATTTTTAACATTAAATCCATCCATATTATGCCTTTGTTAATGAATTGTTGTTTATTATATACAGATGGGGACATACTGATAGAAATGTGACACTAATGTAAATGCTTAATAGTAATTATAGTTTAATGGTTTTTCAATCTCTCTATGTTTATTAAGGTATGTTTGTGAAAACGATATTTGATTTAATTATTTGTGTTATTTACAAAGTCTTACATTTAATTTGAAACTGCATAAAAAAACCGTGCTATACTCCAGGAGGAACTGCTACACCCCGCGACCCCGACCACGGATAAGCGGGGAGAAGATGGGATGGATGGACTCCAGGAGTTAGCATGCTAACGTTAGGCTTCAGCTCAAAGCAACAGCCGGGCATACAAACGCGTCAGGAATAAGGATTATAAAAAATATAAACGTTTTCATAACATCAGACATATTGTTTTTTGTGCTGTGTTGTGTGTGTGGTGTGTGTGTGTGTGTGTGTGTGTGTGTGATGTTGTGTGTGTGGTGTGTGTGTGTGTGTGTTGTGTGTGTGTGTGTGTGTGTGTGTGTGTGTGTGTGTGTGTGTGTGTGTGTGTGTGTGTGTGATGTGTGTGTGTGTGTGTGTGTGTGGTGGTGTTGTGTGTGTGTGTGTGTGTGTGGTGTGGTGTGTGTGTTGTGTGTGTGTGTGTGTGTGTGTGTGTGTGTGTGTAGTGTGTGTGTGTGTGTGTGTGTGTGTGTGGTGTGTGTGTGTGTGTGTGTGTGTGTGTGTGTGTGTGATGTGTGTGTGTGTGTGTGTGTGTGTGTGGTGTGTGTGTGTGTGTGTGTGTGTGTGGTGTGTGTGTGTGTGTGTGTGTGTGAGTGAGAGAAATGAACATTGGAGCATCACAGGAGCTTTAGTGACAGTTCTCCCTCTTCCTTCCCTGCCTGGTGCATCTAACATAATGAAGTCATGGAGTTGTTGAGCTTATGTTCTCTCTTCTCTAAGAGAGAACATAAGCTCAACAACTCCATGACAGAGGCTGTCATTTTCTGTAGAAAAACCTTTCTCTGGCCTTAGAACCAAACAGTGTAACTGGAGTGTTGTGAGGGTCCTAGCTTTATTTAGAACCGTATGAGCCCCCCAGAGAGTTAGAGTCCATGGCTCTGCTGTAGGCCTTACTTTGTGGCAGTTTACATTGGGGATTTGTTTTTTAATTCTTATTTAATGTATGTTGATTTATGTTTACACCTTGTTTAATATTGTAGATCAGTGTCAGCTGCGTGTGTTTAGTTTTACATTCATTAATTAATTTCCTTAATTATCTCTCTATTTCTGTTGGGACTGCATTACCCAGAATTCCTGTGGAGTGCAGCTGCTGTTTTTGTAACATTCCTGTAGTTTGAAAACATACCCCAAACTCAAGGTCAACTAACAATCTTTTTTTTTTACTGTCATTCCAAATATCATTTTTCGTAATAAATGTTTTAAGTTTGCAAATGCATTTATAACTGGATATCCACCTTTTTGTTATAAAGGATATTTTCACATTCCATTGTTTGTTCAGCAGACACCTCATGCCTGTTTACTAGGAAACTGAAACTACTCTTCACATTTCTCCCACAACTGGCTGTGTGATTCATTTAACACCTCCAAATAACGAGAATAATACAAAGAAACACCTCCCAAACCAGGGCTGAACTGTGAATACAATATTTCAGATTGTTCATGTGACTGTATCAAAAATAAACATGAACAACCACCACATTCAAATCAAAGAAATGTGATTCATGTTCACTTCAGGTGATTTATAGAAGTCTTTAAAGATCTTCCTTGATCACAGGGATCCTGGCTGTGGGAATGGGAAAGTAGTGTGTATTTTGAGTGGGTCACAAGAGTGGTCGTTCAGAGGCTCTGACCCAGTGCCTTGCTCTCTTAGAAGTTCTGAGATTCTTCACTAAAAGCCTAAGCTCCAGTCAAATAGAAAAAGTGATATCTAGGTAAATATGAACATCTGCTGTAGATTCATTGTCTCCACTAAACTCTGGCTGCATTAACAACTGCCAGCTTTTCTATTCTGTTGGGGTGCAGACCGGATGTTTGCTCTGACTCAAAGCTCTGTGCTGTAGCAAAAATGGTTTATATATTATAAATATACAAAAAAAGTATGCTGTGACTAATTTTCATAAATGTCCTAGTTTAGTATAACTAATCATTTCAGTATAGCATGTTGAGAGTATATTTTATTGGTGAAAAAAACTCTCATTAAAGTATTTAGTAACTCGTAAAAAATGTGGGTAAACGTCAGTAATGTATACCAAATGAGTCATAATACAGTTACGATAAGTCACTGTTTTAGTTTTTCATAAAAAAGGTATGCGATTGTTTACATAAAAAAAATGTATCACAAAAAATCTAACTTGAAATAACATTACGCCATACAAATAATGATAATTTACTATAACTATAATGTATAAGATTTCATAGTACAGCATGTCATGATGTCATAGAATATTATGGAATACAAATGTAACAATAAATATGCTATAAAAAGTCAAGAGTATTGTCTGTATTAAAATGAAAGTCCTTGTCATGTCCAGAGTCCAAAGTAGTCATAGAGCCAAAGAATACTGTAAATACTTAAAGTACTAGTATAGTATCTTATAGGAAAGTCAGATACTTTTTTCATTAAAAAGTGTGTTAAATACATTCGTATAGAATGTAATGAAAAACCCACCAAATAAGTCATACTCATGGTGTCAAATGAGTCATATCATAGTATTTCATCATAAAGCATTCTATTGAAATGTCATAATAGTATGTTATTTCACATTGTTGAAAAAAAATGTTGAAAGTAATTAAAAGTGTGACAAAGATATCTTATGTCATCCTGCTGGTTTAGTTTAGCTTTTATTTCCATATCAGTCAATGATTCTATCTTTGTCATCCCTATGTAATCATTATTATTCACACTGCAAACAAATATATGATTGTATTCATTGAATTTGAATACATAATTGCTAATATATATTTTGGAGGATAACATGACTTGTATTTGCACAATATGAGATCAGTGAAATGTAAGTTGTTGTGATGTGTAACATGTACTTCAGGCTTATAACAAAGAAGAGTTACCAAGAACAGACCTTCTCATGTTTTAATATAAGATGACAGCAGCATTACAATCAGAGAACAGTCACAGTGAAAACAAGAAGCACAAGCTCTATGAAATCAAACCTAAAGTATCCGTTGAGTACAAGCTGAAAGAAAGGCATCTGGACTCTGACAGTACTCCGTTATATCTCAGCTGATGTTTGGCTGCATCACTGCATTCATTGCTCAGAGACAGTGGCTCAGAGGTGTGGGATGATGCTTGCAGTCATTTCCTTTCTGATTCCTTATTTCAGAAGATCTGATTGTTGTGTAGCCTGAACATATCTCTGCAGCGGGGATCTCCTCGTGTCACTTTCTGTACACGTTTAGCACGACACGAGCATCACATGAACACAGACAGGAAGCATCAAACCAGCAACCTTTATCCACTCATACAGCCGCATCTGACACACAGCTGAGGGGGTGACATTCAGAACCCTTATTAATAATTCATTTGTTGTTGGAACATACCCTGTCAAAAATATATTTGAATCTACACGGATAGACAGCAGAGAAGTTGAACTGCTGATGGATGACTGTTGTAGAATAATACAACGAGGTTGTGCTCTGAAGTTTAGCTCTGAAGTCATATATTGCAGAGTGATGATACTGCAGAGGTTTTGATCAGAGGAGCACTGAACTGGTGCCTCTGCTGTCAGTGTTCCTCACAGCGTGCTAAACTCTGGCTGGAACCGTTCTACCTGACTGTGTTTTGAGACCTTTGAAAAAGTTCCTGTGGTTGTTAGGATCCAACGGAGGACTTGCCATCACAAAGTATAGCTTTTGAAAAGAATCTATACAAGTTGGATGATTCCAGAACATGCAAGCGTAAAGCCAAAGCATCTCCAAAGGAAACCCAGCACAGGGCTTTATTCAAATGAATATACAGTATATTCAATTGAATATTTATGGTTCTGCAGCTATAGTGATTTCAGCCAAAAAGCTTAGCCTACTATATCTCAACAGGAACACAAGGAGAGCTAAGCTAAGTGCTAACCACTGTTTCAGGTGACATTACAACACAGTACAAGTTGCTCTGTGTTTGCAGTCTTTGAAAGATGTGAACTCTGCACTGTACTGGCTGCTTTTTACTTCAGAATTCAGAATTTAAGGACTAAGACGTGTCAAAATCCAGGCCTATCCCTAAACGTAAAAGTTCACTATTGATCCAGTGAATGACTGGAGAGATGTAATGCTAACCTGTGCAGCAAACTGGCAAAACCCCTAAGAAATGAAGGATCCTAACCTCTTGGATTTCAAACCTAAAAAGTGAAGACACTTAAACACAAATGTAAAATCAGTTGAAGTTAGGACAACATAGCACTGACGGACTATAGAGTCATGCTCTAGAAGACTGCTGTATTCCAGGGAAAGAAGCTGTATTCATCGCCTCTTTAAACAAGTTCTCAGAAGTATCTTTATTAGAGCAGCTTTGGCACAAACATGAAGCCAAGCCTGCCGGAACATTCCCACATGCTTTTGAGACACATGGCCTGCTATATAATACATTCACTCTAATACAAAAGATAAATAGATATTAGCAATACCTTCCCAAGCCTCTGGGTTACATTCACTCCGTCAGTCCAACAATGTACTGTGCCCCCCCCCCCCCTCACAGACCCAGAGAACGCCAGAGACCGGTTTACGGCTGGTTTTGATGCAGCTGATCTCTGTGCAGACGTTGTCCATGGGTTCCACTCCATCACTCCTCCAGCTTCTGTCCGTGCTTTCTTCTTCAAACATGTGGTTTTTCTTTGAACTAGAACCACGAGACAGAAAGAGTGAAGTGACTCGCTTATTACTACAGCAGTGTATATTCATTGGCTTCTTCTTTCTCTTGAGTTTCTTGCGATGCTGAGCTCAGCTGGTGGTGTTGAATGATGAAAATGTTGTAAAGCATGTCAGGCTCTGGGTAGAGTTCAACTGTCCTCCCTGCCCAGGCTGTGTGATGGCCTCTATGACACTGGGGGTCTCCAGCCCCCCCCACCCGCTGCCTGACCAGCCGAGTCCTGAGAGGAGAGAGGAAGGCTCTGCTGCTGTTCCTCTCTCTGTCCTGGATTCTCTGAGCGTGAATCACCAAAGGCTCAGTTAGAAATAGTTACTGTCACAGATGTAATGACAGTTTCAATGTAATACCCTCTATGGAGTTGTTTCCTTTCAGCATGCTGCCCGCACTCTGAACAACTAGATGCAGTTTGGTGGGGGGGTTTGACAGTGTTAACCTCTAATAATAATAATCAGGAATGTTTTATTCCAATGTGATGCTTCCTTATCAGGACGTAAATATTTAAGTTTTTCATTACTCGTTCTTTTCTTCCCTCTCTCACTGTCTGTACCTTCTGCTCTCTGTCTCTACCCCCTCACTCCTCAGTGATGGTGGGCAGGTGGGGGTTACTGGGGGAACTGGGCGCGCTCCGCAGGTCCGGCCGCACGCTGACGCTGGAGATGGACCACACGTCACTCAGCTCTGTAGATGGGGGGCAAACAGTCAAAGAGTTTATAGTTCATACCTTCACATGTCAAGGAGCACTGTGGGGGAGGCATGCCATAGAGAGCCCCTCCCTTTCCGGGGGACCTCCATGGGACCTTATTTCAGAAAAATTATGTATTGTAGTTAATGGCGAGAGAAAAGTTATCTTTCGACCCCATTTGAATTGTGCCACGAATTACACATATGATGTTTGTCAATCTTAAAAAAGCATTTCCATATCAAAAAAGTCACAGTTTGTGTGTGAAACCGCTCCATGAACAACATCTCTGGTCTCGCACAACACACGTCACCAACACCAGAATGAGGTGAAAAGTATTAAAGGAGGTGGAAATCATTACACGTCTGGGCATGTTGAGAGCTGCTATTACACAAAAGGGATAGTCGGTTCCGTAAGAGCCAGCATGCGGGACCGGCTGTACAAGCTTTCTGTGAGTGTTAAACGAGTGTAACGTGCAACGTTAATGTCAGCTAGCTAACATTAGCTAACAAGGTACACTCGTGTTTTGTTTTAGCAACTAGTTTTCTGTGTACAACATTATTGTTATCCAGCGATCATTTTTCTTGACTTGCAAAATGATCTTTTAAATTGACAAACATCATATGTGTAATTCGTGCCACAATTCAAACGGGATCGAAAGATATATTTTATCTTGCCATTGGCTTCAATACATGATTTTTCCGAAATAAGGTCCCATGGAGCTCCCCCGGAAAGGGAGGGACTTCGCCTCTCCATGAAGGGAGAGAGGAAAGGGTGCACAAGAAACATTAATGAGGGGGGGGGGGGAGTACACAAGCAGGTGGTGAAGCACAAGAGATGCCAACAAGAAGACATTCATGTGAAGCATGAGGAGGACGGATTACATCTACTGTATGGACCCACGCTGAGATGAAAGGGGCAGACTGTAGGTTCTCACAGTAATGGAGGGTCTTTCTACAACAGTTTCTGTAGTTCTTGATCCTCTCAGTTGTTTAAATCCCACATGTCTCTGTGTGGGCTTCAGAGAGGGTGCTACTCTCCTACAGTAAGAGTAGCAGCTTGTACAGTTCAGACAAAGTTCAGAGCTCATACAAGGTTCCCCTGAGGCGCCATGCAGGGGGTCATGCAGGGGGTCATGGGTTGAAGACCAAAGGGAGGGAGACCAGGGCTCCAGCAGGGGGGTCAGAGTGGAGGGGGCTCCAGCGAAAACAGATGACCTCTGAGGAGTCTAAAACACACATGCATGCAAGGATTGAGTCATAAAATAATGTCTCTGCTGGTCCATCACATGTACCAGCTTCATCCCTGTGTGCAGTACAGATGGGAAGGGGGGGCTGGGGGCCATGTTTGTTTTTAATCCGCTTACACTCTGGGAGTGTTGCTGATTGGCTTAGATGACCAGATAAGACATTGCCTCTTTTAATGAAGATGATCTGCTCCAGCAAAGCCTCACTCCGTACTGATCAGCAGGAATGAAACTGATAGTGACTGCTATTAATGATACTGGTATTGAGTAAACTGAGTGTCTCCTGAAAAGGGGTTTTACATGAATCCACAGTGACACTGTAAAGAGAAACACACACCTGTCCTGAACTTGCTGTACGTTCCATTCTCATGAGTCTGTCGGCTGCCGGACCAGGGCAGGCCTCTCTCTCTCCACCTGTGACACACACACACACACACACACACACACACACACACACACACACACACACACACACACACACACACACACACACACACACACACACACACACACACACACACACACACACACACACACACACACACACACACACACACACACACACACACCAAAGAGAGAGATCAGAGCAGCAGGAGATAACCAGGTATGTCTCTGTGCTCACCAAAGTGCTTTGAGCTGCCACATGTACCTGCTTTCATCTGTCCACTGAGTGGGAATTACCACGTGGAAGTGCCTGTGTGTGTGTGTTGTGTGTGTGTGTGTGTGTGTGTGTGTGTGTGTGTGTGTGTGTGTGTGTGTGTGTGTGTGTGTGTGTGTTGTGTGTGTGTTGTGTGTGTGTGTGTGTGTCTGTACGCACCAATGGAATATGAAAACTGCTATGATGAGCAGGGCAGACACAGCATCAGTCAGAATCCACATCAAATTGTATTCCTCTTGAGTCTGGAGAGTCGGAGAGAAGGTTGATAATGGAACAGTGAACAGATCATTATTTATTTGATTGAGTGGGGCTTCGGTACTTGTATAACAAAGTTAGAGATGTAGGTGGTGAGAGAATGTCAGTGATACCAAAAGATTACAGACTGAACAACCTTCAAGCACCAGCGGATCTGAGCACATTCTAGATGTCTAAAATATAAATGCATAAGGACTTTTTTCCAACCCTCCGCAGGCTGTAAGCAGCTCCTAAATCTGAGGGAAGTTAGGCAGTCCAGGGACAGAAGAAGAGGATGAATGTCCTCTTACAGTTTAGACTACATCCTGGTAGCAAACAATCAGCATGTGAAAAGGCTGCAAAAGTAGGCCTGTGTTTTTTAACAATGTGTAGTCTACTTCTGTATGTACAGTTTACAATTTATTAAAAAAAAGGTTTCATCACATGAAATAATCAGTATACTAAGGTTAGTAGTTTATGTTTTGATGTCTGTGTAGAATGCTGCATGCCAGCCCCCCCCCTCTCCCATCCGCCTGTCCTCTCTTTATGATAAAGGCAAAGAAGGACGACACATTCTCATACTAGTCAAAGTCTGCCTTTGCTGCATCAATATTGATCATATTTTGGGGAATTCCCTGACTTCTTGGAATTGCAAAACAAATCATGTTTGGTGACATTTAAAGGAAATGATACAAGCCAAGACAGCTAGGACATACAGTATATACAGTTTGGTACAGCCATGTTGTAGATCAAAGCTCCATGCAGCCAAACAATTAAGCCTTTAGGAATATGACATGAAGCTTTCTCAGGACAGCAGGATGATAATATCTAATAAAGCGCTCACCATGAGGAAGAGCGGCTTGTTGATGCTGGACAGGATGTGGATGGAGTTGGTGGTTACAGACTGAGCTCCGGAACACCAGGCCAAAGTGTAGAGCCATGGCTGACTGATCACATACAGGTTAGTGCTGACGTTCACCGATTGGTACTTGCTGTGGAGACAGAGGTGTGGAGGGGGGACAGGAGGAACACATTAAATAGTTTCCATAGTCACCTGGTTTCTCTTTGACGTACCGTTTTATTTTATTTACAAAACCCTTCAAATGTTAGGAATCAGGAGTTATAGTGATGTTTTATTGATGGTAGCCCTCCTTCTTTCAGTTACAGTTATTTTGAGAAAGATACAAATATTACACTTAAGACCAAATGTATTATTCACATATGAATAGTTTTGGCCCCAAAATAAGAAGGCGTATATAATTGAACTTCCATTAATAGTCAATGAGTTGCAGGACAGGAGAACACTGTGGAACTTCAATTTGTTTTAGTTTGTGGTCGCGCTGCAAGACAACCAACCCCCGTAAGTCCGGAATGGGGGGAGTGAACGTTTCATTATTTTGTGTTTCCTTAAAATCCAAGAACTGAATAGGAAGAGTCAAAGTTCATTTAATCTACAGAAAATTCAAAACATCCTTTTAAATCTGTTTCAGATTCCTATAGATTATTATTATAAAGAGTCAATTCAAACATTAAAACACATTGAAAGCAGAGCACTCGCTGCACACACACACACACACACACACACACACACACACACACACACACACACACACACACACACACACACACACACACACACACACACACACACACACACACACACACACACACACACACACACACACACACACACACACACACACACACACACACGATTTTCAGGTAAGGGGAACTTCAGAGCTGAGAGGAAACCTTTCTCTGGCAGGTTACACAACGCAGCGGTGTATAATCTCAAGGAGTTATATAAACTTGTTATTATTTCTGAGGGTCAGTTCAACAGTTTGTTCAAATGGTGCAAAGGGATCAGCTGAATGCATAATCAGCAAGCAAAGGACACCAAATCTGTTTTTCAAACACTGAAGTAGAACTTCTTAAATCTTTAACTATTCACTTTCACACACCGCTGAAATATGCTGTATGTACTGTATGTATCAATAGATTTCAATATTTCAGTCTTTATGGACATTTTCAATGGCAACGTCTTATTATAAACATAATCACATGTATAATGCACATCAGAGTGTACAATAGAATATGGCATGTCCCTACTTTTACAGTGGACATTCCTAAAATAATTGTTTTGAAGATAGGAAAGCACCAACTCCTTTTAATACTATACATTAGATACAGATTAACTGATTTATTTCACTTTGTTTTGCAAAGTGAAATGCCTGCAATGATTCCCAACTCTAGAAGTGATACACTATATTCGTCCATAGAGACAGAGAATAACTCTGATTATCAGTAAACTACTGCACAGTTGGAATATAAAATAATCACCATGTTAAGTTTAACACAATGTTCTGTTTATAATAATCATAGTAAATATAATATTCATAAAGAGCTAATTATATATTATTTTTTTTAGCTAATTATGATCTTCACAATGAGCTGTGCCCGCAAATTCGCGGGTCTAGCTAAGTACTGAGTGTGTGTATTTCGCGGGTTGAGTGATGTACAATGACAATGACATCCCGTGGAGGAATTCTGAAATGTTTTACCGTTACATCACAAAAACGCACAGCAGAACCAGACCCTGGAGCGCCGGCCTCTTTATTTACTTACTCCTCTTCATCCCCTATGGGTAATAAGGCTGAGAAGAGAACCCTCCATCGTATTTAGTCCTTAGCAATAAGCTGCGCCTCTCCCCATGTAGGGATGGGTACCGAGCCCCGGTATTAAACGGGCCCGGGCCAGAATTATTAAAGACAGTGGTAACGTTAAGCTCCGACGTTATCGGACTTTTTATCGGTACTGGAGACATTTAAATAATATATGTCATATGTATTATTGCTACATACACATTATATCGCAGTTTTAGTTTCACAATAAGACTACAACATGCGTCTATGATGTATTTTCGAGCTTTCCAATCCAGACGAGATATCTCTCTCCCGTCTGTGTGCGAGGGGGCGGGCCGTTCGTAAAGGTCTCCTGACTGACAGACTGTCATCCTGGTTAGTGGTTACTCTGGGTTCTGTCTTCAGGACAGAGTGTTGGATTGTTTTGTTAATTGGATGGGACTTGATTGGATTCAATATTAGAGTAATCTTCTCGTTTGTGTGTTTGTTTAAATATATTTGGCCTTTGTTTATGTGATTGAATGATTTACTCAAATAAAAAGGTTGATGAATTATCATCTAATGATTTGTATAATGTTTTATTTATGTTAAAGGTCACTTTGAATGATTTTAATTAATGATAATGTAGAAAAACTAACATTTTAAATTCGGGACGGTCCACATTAATTTCGGGACGGCTTAGATCAGTGGTTCTCAAACTTTTTTCACTCATGTAACCCCTTTGAAAAACAAATTCAGTACCCCCTGATCAGCGCAAAAACTATTTGTTAAGGAAAAAATGCCTATATACTGTAAAGAGGTACAGCACAGCGCTGCACCATCAGTGTCTGATTTATTAAAACAACAACATTGTAACTGAGAAGCACTTAAATGCTACATTTCAAATGTTTACAATCCATCACTAAATTCATGGCAAACCAATTTTAACATCATCCAATAACACTGAGACGACATTAGTTGCATTGAACTGATCTTTTTAATAAGTTGTAGCCTACTTATAATGTAGTGAGAAACATGGGCTTGTGCTTCACTGAGGATCTTTGTCATTCTGACAGGGAGGCAACTGCAGTTATTACACTTCGCGTTTTGAAATATGTGAAACTATGTTAATATAAAACCCACACTGCTCAAACTTCGTTACTTTTCCTAAAATTGGTATATTTGTATATTTATTTATTTTGGGGCTATGGGAATGAAGAGAAAAAAATATATGAGCATGGGATTTTGACCCCTCATATAAACATATGCAGAATGCTGCGCTACTTTGCGGCCACACGCCGTTGCCAAGCAACGCTTATTGTTTAGGTCCTTTGAAAAGCAGGCAGTCATATAATTAGCTAGAACTAGCTAGATCTGATAGATTTGGACATAGACGCGAGTGAAGTCTAACTGGACGCGAGAGAGAGATCAGAGAGCAGATCAGCTGCTGCTGACAGAGAACACGCAGCTCTGCATGATCACAGCTCCACCGCTGTGACGGACCGTTGAGCTGAGCAAAAATACACTAAGAGTTAGACCTAACACACTTAGCTAGTTTATCTACTCTGGAACTAGCTAAACTAGTTATAAATATATTTATTCTTTACTGTCGGGTCACTTATTACAGGTTCAGCGAGCTGCACGAGACTAACGGGCTGTCAGGAGAGGGAGAGGAAAAGAGAGCACCCTGTTTATTGTTCCCATTTTATTATCCAGAATTACTGTATACCTTTGAATAAAGTAGTTAATCTACTATTAGTAGTTTGTGTAAATGCATTAATGTTTTTTTTTCAATTAACATAAAAAAAATCTCACGTACCCCCTGCAGTACTCCAACGTTCCCCTAGGGATCCGCGTACCCCCATTTGAGAACCACTGGCTTAGATTGTATTTCGGGACGGTTCCGGGAGGATGGTGAAAAAAGTTAGTCGAGAGCCCTGACCATAAACAACACATGCCTAACCCTTACCCTAATCCTAAACCTAACCAAGTCTTCACCCTAAAATTAATGATTCCCCTCATGGGGACCTCCAATTTGTCCCCATAAGGGCGGCGAGTCCCCACACATGACTGTAAACAGATTTAGGTCCCCACAAGTATAGTAATGCTAGGCCACACACACACACACACACACACACACACACATATTTATATAAATATATACAATTTCAGAATCAAACAAGTATGAGAGCACTCTCATAATAACGTAACACAATCAGAGACTGGATATATCCCCCCCACTCTCTCTGGTCGCTGAAATGGGGAATTGAAATTACGGGCCAAAAGTTGTATTTACAAGTCTTAAAAGTAAGCAGAGGACACCAAACCAACTGAGACCTGTCTGTCCGCCGCATCTACGCACTGTACAACACTGTTACGACCCTGGGTCGTTATGTTGTTTGTGTGCAGGTATTTTCTTCCTCCTCCTGTGTCTGTGTGGCTGCGTATGAGTGAACAGGTGGTGCCCGGTAGCTGAACGGCTGCCCTCGACAGGCTGATTGGTCCACCTGGGGAGACGGGAGGATATTTAGCTGCAGCCGTGCAGTTCCTCGGCCGCTCTCACTGACTCAACTTCTCCTACTCCCAATGCGGCGCTTATTTTGATATTTTGTTCTATGGTGCTGTGTTCGCACTTTGGTATCGTTTTGTCCTTCTCCTCTGGCTGCGGGCCAGTTTCACCTTACCTGTGAAGACAGATTTATGTTCTCAGAAGTGCAAACTCTTTTGTTTTATTTTCCATTTTGGATTGTTCGTTTTCTCCTGTTTAAGGTAGTGTAGGTAAGAAGCCTGTATATTTATTTTCTCGGTTAGGTAAGATTTTGAGTTTAAAGGTTTGTTTCTTTTTTGTTGGTTTTGCTACTCCTGTTTGTGAATAATTGTTGGTAAATAAATTTACCAAACGCTTTCTCTGACTCGGTGTCCGTGTTCTTCGGAGTGGGAAGAATGGGGAGAGTGCAAATGTTGTGCTGCGCCTAGGTTCCCCTAGACCTGGGCATAACATAAATTGGGGGCTCGTCCATCCGGTCTTTTCGTTCTTTTCATCGTGTTGGGTAAGCATGGCTATTTCCTCTTCTCGTACATTTGGTTGACAGTTTTCTGTTTGGAATTCACAATGGAGAGTCAATTGGAATTGTTTACTACGGACCCTTCCATTGAGAGATGACTGCACAGTAGCAGATTTAGTGTTAATTGCACAGTTTTACGATGTGTTTGTGCCTACAAAAACAAAAAAACAAGAGTTAAAAGACCTATTGTGTACAGAACTAGTCGAGAAGGGTGTATTTGAGGAAAAACATGAAGTGGTTGATATCGCAGGTTTGTCCGCCCCACTCCAAGGACTGCCTTCCCGAGCTGGGATGTCTGTAGAGGAG